AATTGTTCTGTCTTGGGCAGCCTGCCTGGCTTTATTTCTTACATTGTGTGATGCCTGGGAGAGAGGCAGGAGTGATAAACCTGCCCTTTTGTTTTTTGAACAAAATAAACCCTCTTCAGATTTGTGTGGGAAAATAAGTCTTTATTTTCAGAACACATACAATAGTAAGTAAGTTGACTATCTTCTTTGACAACCAGTCTTCTTTCTGGAGTGCTTGTGGCTGAAAGGATGATATGAATCCATGAGGGTTTCCATGTGTTAATCTAATGATTTAGTCTTGTGAATCAGCTGAGTGAACTGTAGCTGAAGTGTCAGGTGTGTTTTGCTAACAACATTGGTGAGTTCATGCAGATGTACAAACCAATGTTAATGGGCAAAAAAGCATTTTTTTCCCTACTTGTGACCTCAAACTGAGCTAACATGTAAAACTTTATCAGACCTTAATGTTTAGGGAAACTATACTGATGCTGAGACTTTGGGTCAGCAAAGACTCTGGATCATGTGCCTGGATGCCTACACTGACCAAGGAGACAGAGTGTTGTGGTGGTTTTGGGGAGAGGGTGCTGGTGAGTGTCTGTCTAGCTGTGTGGAAGGCAACAAGACAGGCTCTAAATGGATACAGGGATGGAAAAGGCTTCCATCTCCCAGCTGCCAGTTTTGGTTCTGCAGAGATGAGGAAGGACTGAAAATTACTGTCACCTTTCCGGTGATGGATGAGAAGTGAATCTTTGAACTCAGCCTTTTTCTTGATAGTGTGTCGCCCTGTCAGCCCCCTGGCTTCTGCCATGAAGGAGACAACAGGGTCTCTTACAAAAACTGCCAGCCCAGGGGAATGAGAGTTGAGGTACTATTTCAGTGCTGGGCTGTCTTTGAGGCTGCAGTTCTACCTGTGTGGAGTGCTGCTGAGCCCAAGGTGTGCCTGGGTCTGGCCTCTAGACAAAAGCTCTAAGGCCGAAGCTGATCATGTTTGCACTGTTTTCTGGACAGAAAGAGAGTTATATTGTAAGTGCCCATAATTCTTACACTTGGAATCTTCAGCACACTTTGTGCCTGTGCAGGGCCCTGTGTTAATACCAAAATCTTTTGCTCTCCCTTGGAAAACTGGCTGTCCCACTTGATTTGCTTCCCCCTTTATAATTTCGCCTGCCCTTTCCGTATGCTTGGGGCACACGTTGTTCAGATGATACTTGCTTGCTCAGCCAGGGCATTTGACTGGATTTTGTTATTGCCTGCTGTATTAGCTCCTGAAACTTTGTGGTAACATGTGGAAGTGCTCAGAGAGAGCAGCCAACTTCATTAACATGACTTTTGCTGTGAGTGAGTGTGACTGAAGCAAAACTTCATGGAACTGAAGCAGCTCTCAGCTCCTCCCCAGTGAAGCGGTTCATGGAGTCAGAGACAGAAGGTCACAGTTATTCACCCGTTGTTATTTCCTGAGCCTTATTGCTATTTGTCCCTGAACAGGAGCTAGAGAGGGCATAGCTGCATGCTGCAAAGCAGGTAGATGGTTCCTGGGGTCTGCAAGGGGACTACTGATGTTACATTAGATCCTGTCTCACCCCTGGGAAACAGTGAGCAGACCTGAATGTTGGCATCATTGGAAAAGCATTTGGGTGGCATCTGTGAAATGTGTTGGTTGGTTTCAGATCAGCTCCTGGTGTGGATTTGTGCTCTGTCCCCCTTGGATCCTGTAGAGATCAGAGGTGTGCTTGGCTCAGAGAGGCTGACCTTGCCCTTGGTCAAATGTGAGGCTTGTTCAGATGTTTTGTACTGGCACAGCTTCCCTTTCTGTGGTTTGGACTATGCTCAGACCTTGGGAAAGTGAGGAACAGTATTTCCTAAAATACAGGGTATTTTGGAGTATCTAAAATACTATCAATACCATTCCCATCTGGATGCAAGTTATCACCAAGTCCTGGATCCCCTTGGAAAAGGACCTGGTGCTTTTAGAATGGGGGTTCTTCAAGGTGTCTTCAGCTGGGGCCTCTTAAGATGGGGGCACCATCTCATAAGATGGTAGTGCTGAAATCTTGGTTCTTCTGAAGTCTTGATTGTTCTCATAACACCATACCTGTGGTCATGGGATGGGTGACTACGTTCTGGTGGTTCTTATCCAGCACTGCATGCTCCCAAGGATGAGGATCTTAGAGACAAGGATCCTTTCTGCATACCACAGATATGCCAGCTCTTAACTGGTTTACTAGGAGCTGGGTGGAAGCTGACCCACATAAAGATAATTATACTTAAAGAGAACATACAGGCACCTGGTTTTGCACAGTATATGAAATGTAGTGTTGCTTGTTCTGATGTCTGAGCCTTGCCAATACAGTCTGTGTGAGTCTTGAACAATCCACTAAAAGCTAATTGAGGAGGAAGAGGTTTTGCACAGGTTTTAAGTAAACTGAGGATGTGCAGCCCAGCCTGGGAAAATCAGTTGCACAAAATCAAGGGGCCTTTGGAGACTAAAATAGCACAAATCCTTTTGTTGCTAGTGTCAAGTGAGCAGGCATTGGGCAAGGCCAGCATTCACCTGTGTCAGTGTGTGCTGCAGGGTGGATCAGTACTTAAATCCCAGGGGCGGCTGTGCAGCTCCAGCTGAGCTCCAGCCCAGGCGGTGGGGGGACTTGACTCAGCTCTATTAAACCCACTCCATGGCAGGGAAACAGGCCTGTGGTGGCAGCAGTCGTATCAGCACCCCGGGCTGAGGATGGACACCGAGTTACTGCCTAGGAAGAAGCAGATTCCACTGCACTTGACCTTTTTCTTTGCTCTTGGCACAGCTCCCCACCCACACCAAGGGTTGTGCCTGCCCCGTGCTGGACACCTGCCCTTGGCCAAGCTGGGAACAGAAGTCCAGAAGTGCCAGTGCTCAGAGCTGTAAAATCAATAGCTGGTGTGTGCTGGTGAAAGTGTTTGTGCAGACACAGCCCTAAAGGCTTGTGTTGTTAAATAGATGTATGTGTCTCTCTCTCTGCTTTTTATTTTACTAGTGCTTTTGTGTGTCTCTCTTACTAAATACAGGTGTCCCATATAACAAGAAGGGAGATAAAATTTATTTTAATGGCTACAATTATCCTTAACTCTGCTGAGTCAATCTGGCAGAAAGAACAGCATGTTCAGACTGGCAGTTTATAATGTAATGTCCTATTAGGCAGTAAGGAAAGCGATGCCTTCCTAAGGAGAGTGGATAGAGCACAGATTAAAATAAGGAATCTTGAAGGCATGGTTTAATTTGGATTGGTGAGATGTCACACCTTGAGGCCCTTGCCCTGCCTGCAGTCCCTCTGCCCCGGCCCAGAAGAGGCTGTGTCAGTGCCACTTGGGAAAGGTCATTTTGATATCAAGGCTGTTGTGTATCCAAAGCACCAGTGCCACTGGGCGAGCGGGGTGCCCAGCTAAAAGTCTACACCTGCTTGTGGTGGGGTGGGGTGAGGTTTCCTTGGACTTTGGGAATTTTTTTTACCATTCTAGTGCTCTGTCGCCAGTAGGTCTGACAAATTACAGTGCCATTTCTAATGGGGGAAGGGGATGCGTCCGACCAGGTGCACTGAGGAGGGTGTTTATTTTTGGGACATGGGGGTGTGGTCCTTTGGTAGCAGAGTTGTCCTGAAGCCTGGGAGCAGGTGGGACTTTTCAGTGGGTGGCTGCAGGGCATGTGGCTAGGATAGCTACTGCCCTTCCTGCCTGGTTAATTAGTGATCTGAGCAGCCATTCTGTTTTCACTGATGAGGGACAAGAAAGTGATTGGGGCAGGGATGTTGGGTAAAGGTTTGTTTTTGCCTAATTTCATATGCAATTCCTAAGAGTACGTTACATGAGCCCTTCTGGACATTTGCTCACTGAAGTGAACACAAGCAAGTTTAAGTTTTCCATAATGGTTGTCCCAACCCTGGAATAAGGCAGACTATTAATAGTTCATGCTTAGACTTTGCACTCAGAGAACTAAAAGGCACTAAAGTACCTAACCATGAGTTATACATGGTACTTATACAAATAAATTGGGAATTTTTTTTGGCTTGTTGGTTGGTTTGGGGTTTTTTGTTGTTGATTTGATTTTTTTTAATTGTCACAGAACGTTTACCTAGGAACTGAATTGTAGGGGCAGTTGATCCTACCAAACCTTGAGCCATGCAACATCCCCACTCAAAATGGTAGCAGTAGGAACCCATCAGTTGCTGGGAGCCAAAATGGCTCAGCTCTCTTGCAGTTCTTTTTGCAGGTGGAGTTTCCATTAGGGAGTATTTTAGGGTTCTCATCGCAGCTTTTTAAATCCTTGCTCTAAACATACAGCAGCAAAAGAAAGAGTTGAAGGTGCAATTTCTGCTGGCACCTGCCCCTTGAGAACAACATGGAACAGCTAAATGTGTGCACTAACCACCACAGCATATCGTAACCACGCTTTTCTTTCCAGCAGATGGCAAAGAGTTCAGCATCTTGCTTCTCCACGATTGTGTGTTCCACTTAGGAAGTCTTTATCAAGCCCCTTGCTCTAGGATAGTCCTGTTTTGTCACTTTACATGGAGACATTCTCCCTGGTAATCTGCATCATGTAGCACTAAGTGAGCCTGACTCCTGCACAAAGCCAGCTGCCACGTTTTGTCACCTCTGAGCAGCCCCAGCAGGCACAGTCTGTCCTCAGCCCTGGCCACTGGCCCAGCAGTAACACAGAGCAAGTGGCTGCCCTGAAACTCTCGTGGCTCCAGTGTGAAGCCTCCCTTCTGGCAGCTAGAAGCTTTAACTTGCACTGAGGATGGACAGTTTTGTCTGGAACACAGAGGCTGTGCCTCCAGAGTTGGAGCGTGTGCAATAATTGGGAAGAGACTTTTTGGGATCCTGGCAGGCGCAGTCAGGTGTTCCACAGCAGCCTCTCATCCGGGGTAGGGAGAGGGAAAACAAATAATGAACAGACCCCAGCACTGATGTGTAACAGCTCAATGTTTCAACTCCCTTGTGCTGAGACTGACTGGGAATGATAAAGATGCATTTTCTGTTTGAAATAGGTGCAGTACTTCTTCAAGATTCTGGACAACTAACGGGCTCCATCCTCACCCACTGCAACAGACACGCACACAGAACTGTGTGTTCATTCATTTATTTGTCCAATGTTTCAACCTGACTGAAATACAAGATCAACAAGAGCACTGTACTCCTGGCTATTATTACATGTTAGAACATAGAGTTTTGCACTTTAGACAACATTTAACACCATTCTATGGGGTACTGCATTGCTTTTATAAAGTTTAAAATAAAGATTTATTTTCAAACATGTGACTTTGGTTTATTTCATACATTACACTTTCTTGCAGAAAAAATAAAATTGTACAACTGCATAAATATAAAATTCTTCCACCATGAAAATGGCTAAAACATTCAATAAAGACATTAGCACCACAGTGTGCGATGCCTTCAGCAGGAAAAAAAAAAAAAAAGAAAAAAAGAAAAAGATAAGAAAATATACAAAGCAAAGAGTTATGCCTATCACTGCGGAGAGTGATAGCCTGACCCGGTCTCTCACACAACATACTGGAGGATAAGGGAAGAGGTGGAGAGAGAGACAGCATTCACTACAAAGCACAGTACACAATCACCTGCTCTCTTTGACTTCACTTAAGTTAGTTTCCCTGCCACCCCTCCAAATAAAATACCCTAACACCACAGAAAAGCCAGAAGCCTTATGGAGTGCTGTTAAATATCGTCTCACAGGTGGGCCTTTCTTTGAAAAGGAACAAAATAATGAGGAAGTTTCATGCCAGTTCTAGTCCCATTGAGTATTTACACCTTGGACAGCAAAAGTCTTTGCTCACAAGAAGTAGAAAACAGATACAATACATGGCTTGAAAAATGACCAGAGTATGCACCTATAGTACTGTACACTAAATAAAATACACAAGGCAGCAATACTTAGGGGCCAGAAACACTGCTTACTACAAGTCAGTTATGGAATCATAATTTATAGTAAAAATGGGCATGTCCCAAGGCTCAATTTTGTTTTCTTTTGTCATTTACAGTAGAATAAATATTTGTCACTATTGCTACACTTTGTTTACATTCTAACCTAGTAAATGCAGAAAGCTAGTGTAAAGCATATAGATTACGTGTAGGTCCCATACGTATGACAGTTTGTTCAAGACTAGTAGGTTTTCTTTTTTGTTCTTTTTTTTTTTTTAACCTTTTTAAATGGCTAGGAGGAGGAGGAGGGAGAGGAAGAGAGTTGTGCTTACGATCAGCTGCTTTTTATGTCAAATTTAATATCAAAGCGTCCCTGGAAGCGGTCCTTGTCGCTGTAGACGATGTTCTGCCCGTAGGCCCTGCACTCCACACGCACCTCCATGTCGTAGGTCAGGTTGGTGAACTGCACGGCCACCAGCGGCTGCAGGTACCGCGGCTGCAGCAGCTTCCCGTAGTAGGGGTAGTACTGCAGCCCGAAGCCAGGGAAGCCGCCCATCCCATAGTACTCCACCGTGCCGATTTTGTCTGCATCTTCCTCTCGCTGTGGGGGGGAAGAGGAGGCACGAGCGATGACTACGGCCCAAACTCTGGCAGCCCTCGGCTGCATCAGCAGCTGATTTTCAGCTGAGACTGTGACCTCCCATTTGGTCAGCGCTGGCCCCCACCGTGACAGCACAAGAGCTGCCGGCGGTTCACAGGACACGTCAGCACACATCAGCCAGGAAAAAGGCTTTGCTTAATTTAAAGCTGCAGTCACTTCCACAGTTAGAAACCACCAGAGTGTCCTGTGGTACAATTGGACAGGCTTTGGCTACAGAAACTTTGCTGTTTCTCAGCTGCTTTGCACGTGCCAAGTATGAAATACCTTCCATGGAGGCCTTTTTTGGCTCCAGCACAGCACTTGGAAGCCAAATGGCTACTTTTGAAGATACCTTTAACTATCTTGCCCTGCTTTTACCCCAGTAACTAACTCATCCATCAGCAGGGCTTTGAGAAACTTCTGTTATCCCATGTAAGAACCACCCCATTTGTCTATGGAAAGGCAGGCAAGAGGATAACTACACTTGGACAAAGGCTTAGTCATCCCCTGCAGCTTCCCAACTCTGCTCTGTTGCATTTCCAACTTACCTTGGCAACACAGTGGACAGGGATGAGATTTGGGTTGTATTTTGCCATAACCTCAGGAGGGAGGCTTTCATTGACTGGAGCCTAGAAGAAATCCAGAACAAGGGGATGTTACACAGTGGACACTCCTCTGCAGACCGGAGCACCTTTGCAGCAACAAAGATCAACAGTGCTGAACACACATCATTAACTGGAATCCCTTCTAAGCACAGTTCAGAGGCAACAGCTCTCAGTGGTTCTTGGGACAGACAAGTAGAGTAACACTACTGGAAGCAGGGGAACTTGACTCAAGCAGAACTGCTGGCTGTTCTTACAGCTTCACCTGCTGTGGATACAAGCAGGTCAGGAGGGGTTTAGTTCCATGGTGTCCCTGGGGAAAGTGTTTCATGGCAGAGTGTCTACAGCTAGTGGGGCTCATTTTTGCAAGCTTAGGCAGTGTCAGGATTGCACTGGTGCAGGATTTGCCACCTGCCTGCCAGGTGTGTGCAATCAGGACTGAAAATGCACAGGATAGAACAAAGTGTGGCAGTCTCACCCTGCCACTGCTGAACTTCACCACCAAGGAAGAACAAAAGCTCTGGGTATATCAGAGAAGGGTGTGAGTGCCAACTCTCACAGTCCAACCCCTAACCCAGCTCATCTTTGGGCTTTTAAAGGGCAGCGGTATTGTATGACAACATTGCAGCTTCAGATCTGCTTTACAAACACTTTTCTCAATGCAAGAACTACAGGGTCTCGGCTGGAGTGTGGAACCACAAAATAAATACTGCCTTGGATACGTTGTTTCTAAATGAAACCTGCAAAGTCATTCCCTGCTGTCTAATGCAGTCTGGAGGTCTCTAGAGCTCCATTGCAAAAAAAGAGAGGAACCCCCCAAAGCCTTCTCTTTCCCAGTCATCAGACATACACATCTCATATCAACCCCCACAGCCACCACAGTACATTCTGCTAAAATGTTTCCACCATGCATCAGATAAACCAAAAGTTTTCTCATTTCTTGTAGCACAGGACAAACTCCCTTTGAAAGAAAACATTCCTCGGGACTCCTTAGACAGCACCAATTCCCATCCTCAAGAGCCCTGACAGATGGGAGTGAAGGTGGCCTAGAACGCCATTTGCACTGTTCTCCGTCCAGAAGACGGAGTGGCAGGTTTTGCACACCACCTTATTCAGCAGCACGTGTTTTGCTGCTGAATACTTAAAAGAAATTTTTAGCATTTTAATGCACTGGGGGAAAAAACAGAAGGAAAATCCATGAATACCCAGATTAACACCCTCTGGCATTACTGCAGACTTCCCTTTGGGTGAAGGACAGAGCAGCCTGTTGGCAGAGGTACCGTAAAGCCTCTGGAAAACTACACTAAATTAACTAAAGACCTCCTCGCCTTTCTTGCAGCTGTGCCTGACTTTCAAATGTAGTTTACTCTTTAGAGCCTGTGTTTCACTCTGGTATTTAATATTAGCATTTCATAAATTAAGCAGTTATGGCAAGACAGACAAGACTGCACTGCCTGAAGAAAAGAATGGAGTGCATCAGAGCATGACAAAATGATGTTACTACAGACAGGGTTGGTCTGGGATGGTGCCGTGGAAGCATACAGGAATTTAAAATGGAATTTATCATTTGAAGAAAACGCCCCTTTATAGCAACTCCAATAGCAGGCTCAGAAGTTACCAGATAAGTAACCAGGAGGTTGCACTGTGAGGTTCAGTGCTACTTGTTACCAACTTGCAGTGCACAACTTTCACTGCTTTTCAATTAAAAGCATATTTAAAGGAAATTACTCAAATTGTCTCAGTTTGTCCTCTGCAGAAAGGGTTTAATACTGATCTCTTTCTGGAGACCAAAAAGCAGGCACAGCAAATCTGCAGCCAACCCTTCTTCCTGATCAGTAGCTTCTGCTAGAAAGGGAAAAAAAGATACTTGCCTGAGGTTTGAAGCCAATAATTCTGTTGAGCTTGACAAGGATGCATGGTTTGCCATCCTTGTAGCCATAGGTAGGATCATTTAATCCAGAACAGTTTTCCAGCCATTCGCGTTTGAATTTGCAGACCTTTTTCTGGCCCTGGGCATCATTATATGGTCCTCTCTCTTTGTATTCAGTAGGTGCATCTGTCACAGCAGGGGAAGGAAAACACAACCATATGCAGTGGGATCTTGTGTGTATCACTTACACTTCCCTGGGCAGGTAGGATTTCCCTCACCAGGGCAGTTAAGGCACTCCACAGACCTACGCCCAGCCACCCCCACACAGGGCTGCTCCCAGACCAGCAAGTTTTATGGAGCTTTGTTTTATAACTGAGATTTCTTCCACAGTCATCTGGCTGAGCGACTAATTTTTTTCCAGGCAGCTTTTACAAGTGGGTTTCCCTCAGATTTGACAGAGACATATTATGAGGTGACAGTCTCATTCACATGATTACAAATAACCTATTAAGGGTAAACACCTCCCAGATGTTTGACTGCATGGCACAAAGAGGACCAACACTAGCTTTAGCAAGTCATCAGTAAAACTCCTGTGGCTTTCAGAGAGAAGAAGGTCGGTGCCATCTTCAGAGTCAGCTGAAGAGTGAGTTCTCCAAGTGAAATGTGGGGGTTCCCAACCCTACAATAAGCTGCTAAGGATGGCCCAGTGTGGTCTGCCCAAATGAAATTAATGAGCAGCCAATTAACACACATGTTGCTGGGAACCACTGAAGACCAAGACCACCACTGCTCAACCTCAGCTTCTGGTGGACCTGACAGAGGTCATTCAGTCATCAGCTGTAGGAAACAATCAAGACTTACCTCCACAGTCCTGAAACACAATGTTTTCAGTTTGTTGCTCAGCACTGTAGTCCCTTAAGAAATTATCAAGGTTCCTCACATACGGTTCATAACTTCTGGGTTCAGAGGCAGTAAAGGCAATTTCTGTCTTTTGAACCTGGGGGACTTGAGTCAGTCCTAAGAAAAGCAAAATGAGGGAGAAAACCTTAAGTACACCTCAGAGCTGCACAGCCTCCAGGCGATACCAAGAACATAACTCCTAATAATAATAATCTCTATTTTTCAGACTTAAGAACTTTGACAAAACAGCTTAAGCTCACTGGAGGAGAGGTTCTCCTCTTTCCAGCAACTGTCTTAAAATATTTATCACAGTGTTTGTGTCAGGTAAAAAGACAAAAAACACAAAATGGAGAAGTGAGGCTACAAAGTCTAGGCTTCCTTCAAGAAAAACAGCCAACCACAGGTCCACTGTGCACTTCTGCCTCCTCCTCGAGGACAGAAGGGAAGCGGCACGTGAGACCAACCACACAGGACATAAGGATCCCTAATAGGCTGCTTTCAGTGTCTGCAAACTCTGTGTTTAAGATACAGCACAGCTCTCCACTCGTGAGCTCCTGCAACAAAAGACAAGAGGTTTCCCAAGTCCGGTCATGCTCTGCCAGCTGGAATCCATGTGGCCTTTGTGTGTCTCCCCTGTGGGATGCAGGGCAGGAGACATTTCTCCCTTAGTAAATTCAGCTGCCTGAGCACAGCCGCCTCTCTTTTCACTGCCTAATTGGCTATTTCTGACTGTAAAACTCATCTTCTGAGCTCTCTTATCAGCAGCTCATCACCAAGGAGTTGAGTAGGAAATGCCACCACACAGAAGAATTGTTTAAAAGACTCTCCAGTTTCTGGGCTGTGCTAACCAGCTCAGATATAGAATATAATAATGATGCATGGAGAAGAGACTATAAACAAGAAATGCGTACAGGTAATGAAAAACACCATCTCCTTTGCTCTTCATTGTGGAACTTGGAAATAGTTGCTCCTGTGCAATGTTTAGGTCACATTTTAATTGAAAGTATTGATGCATGGCTAACACTAAGTAATGGGAACCAAGTTCATGCTGCTTTTGTGGCAGCCACTGTAATTATTGAGGTCCTGACTTCAGTTCAGTTTGTCCTCTTCATTTTAGCAAGATCAAGAAAAGGAGGAACGGAGCAGCATTTCCTTTGACAGCTTTCAGAACAGGCTTGTTGCCAATAAGCTCCTCTGGTGCAAAACTCAGGCAGCTTAGCTGGCTGGCCCCAACCCACAAGAGCTTGTGACTCCAGCAATTTTTCCAAAGCCACTTGAGTGCTTCTGCTCAGTCCCTCCACAAACCAACTCACCACTCCCCCCACCCCCCTGCCACTACACACTAACTTGGAATTTGTAACCTAGGACAAAGATTACCTTTGTTCCCCTAAACAGCTCCTGGTCACCAAAGATTGCAAGAAGTCCAGCAAGGAGCTCCGGTGTCTCAAGTTTAATTCCTGAAGCAGCTTTTAACTGCTCAAAAATCCCTCTGCTACAAGTGGACCAGGTTGAGTTTACAAGTTTAGAAGCAATTCTCTCTTCCTCTAGCAGAATGACATCCTACCCTCCGAAGTCAGTGGCTTTCAACCCTTTTTCAAGCAATTACTAATTTTCCTGCTTCACAAACAGTTATATATAGAAAAAATACGCCAGTTTCCATTTTAGTAAGGGACTTCAATCCCATCCTGCCAAGCCCTTCTCATGTTACCACTCAGCTGGGAAGAACAGACTCAGTCACCTGAAGTGACTGTCTGGAATTGAAGCAGAGGCAGGCCAGGCCTTGGGTCCTCTCCTGAGTCTGTCATTTCCAGAGTTCAAGTTACAGGTGACATACATATTCACATACATATTCAAGCGTATAAATACCAAAAAAGAAAAAAAAAAAATCAAGAAAACATGGCCAGGCTTGTTAAGTTCCAGTCAGGCAAGTGAAGTTGTCAGTTTTGCTCAGGACCTCCCCCATCTGTTTCTTTTCTTGGCCGAGGTAACACATAGGGCACGCACACAGGCCTGGCAAAGGTGATGTGAAGGTCAGCAAAACCCTGTGATTTGTAAAAGCCACCAGTAGAAGATCCCTGTTCTCTCTTTAAGAGAGCCTGGCCATTGATAGGTGAAGTCCAAAGCCAACCCTCTGCCCATCAGACAAGTGACTTGGCTGGAGAACAGACTGCCATCCCAAAACATCCCTGTCGTGCACATCTCCACAGAAGTGCCATGAAGCCCAGGCAGTACGTCCAAACAGCTGTTCCAGCGACCAGCACAAAGGAACCACTGTTCCTGCCAGGTAGCCCATGGCCCAAGCTGGGCTGTTTTCTGCCTAGCTGGGAGCATTTCCAGGTGGATGGATGAACCAGAGTAGACCAGGCTTTGGCACACAAGTGGTTGCTTTGTTTAGGATAGGAGCAAAGTGGAGATCAATCTTCCCACTTACAAAGCAGGAAATACAATCTTTATAAATATTAAAGACTTGTAATGAAAAATACCTTTATCCTAATTTAAAAAATGTGTTAATGGCTTCTACCACAACCTCCATTCTCACATGCCTGCAACTGACTGGATGCAAAGCCCTAAGCCCTGATGTCTCATTTCCTTCTGTACATCCCCTAGCCAAACTAAAAGCTGCAGTGCTGTTAGAAGCGCTGGGCTATCACTGAAACCTTAAGCAATCTTGTGTGGAAAACCAAGCACGTTGTACGATGGCAGAAGGCAACCTCTGCAGAACACAAACCTTTCTGGAACATCCTCTCACCCCCACTTGGCAACTTAAGCAAGCAGGACAAGAAAACACACTTAAAAGCTGAGCCCTTGCAGTACTACCTGGCATGTATTGCTAGACACCTGAGAAGTGTGTGGCTGGCATGAATGAAGCTTTTAGGGGCTGCATGCACTTGAAGAAGCCACTCATGAGCAAGTCCTGTGGGGGGGAAGAAACAAATGCTTTCAGAGCCAGGAGTCTAACAAGCCCATCCTCAGACTATAATATGTATGACACAGCTCTGCATCTCAAGCTGTTATGACAGAGATGCACCATGGTGTCACATGGTTATGCTGCTCTTTCCACACAAAAGAATGAAGTAACTCATTGCTAAAATACTGACAAATTAGAAAATTGCTGCAAGTGGCACTTCAGAGTGCCTTGTTAGGAAATAAGACTCATCTTCACTTGGCTGACATTGTCCATATAAATGTGCCTTGAGTTGGTAATGGCCACCACCTTTTGTTGGCTGTGACTATACAAGGACCTCAAACACCAAAAAAACCCCACATAAAGTCATTTGGGTTCTTTTTTTTCAGCTACAGTTGCACTTCAAAAATGCCACTGCAGATTAAAATCCTGTTTATTCAAGTTCATTTAAGAACAGTTTTCCACATATATTTTATCACTGTAAGCTGCAACAGCAAGACTTCAGGAGAAGTATCCTGAGGGTAAAGAGGAAGAAACTAGAAGTGGGAAGTCAGGCTTGTTATTAGGAGCAGTTGTATAAGTAGTAACCACTTTTGCTCCATCACACTGTGGTCATCTCATTTGGAGTGTTCCAAATGAGTATGAACACCCCTGAGATGACACAGACAGCAAATTGAGTGGTCACTACACCCTCCCCCAGCTCACTATGTGAGGACAGATTTTAAAAGCCACCATATCAAACAATGTCCTTCCAAGCTTCCAGTCAACCTCATCCCCGTAGTGCAAAAAGCAGTGTGAGTTTTCTGCAAGAGCAGCAAAACCTGCTTGGCTGCAACATCCTAGAGACTGAGATTTTCCCAAGCACAGGTGCTGCTGAGATGAGAGAAGCAAAGAGGTGCAACTTCACAGGAGGCAGCACGCATTCCTTTGAAGCCTCCCTGCCACCTTGCTGCTGCTGTCCAAGCTAAATAAGCCATGTGGGGGACACACACCAAAGCAGCCTTTCTACGATGCATTCACTGCCCAGCAGTGCCTGAAGCAGGAACACCTGAAATCCCCTGGCTGGAGCAGGGATTCTTCCTTCCAGCCACCACTGACAGAGCCTTGCTTCAGGTGCAGTGAGCTCTGTCCCCTCAGCCAGGCCGATGGAATGCTGTTCCACGGGACACGCACCACAAGATGGCAGGATACACAGCTCAGTTTGTATTGGGGTGGGGAGGGGGAGAGTGAAGCATTATTTTTTTAGGGATGCTTCTTAAAAGGCCATATCCTCATCCTTCACTAGTAGCAGGGTAAGTGCTCTGTGTTCAAAGCGGAGTCCGAGCCTGCAGCACACGTGGAACTGGGAGCTGGGGCTGTTGCAATGGCAGGGCTGGACGGGCAGGTGAACTGCACCGTCCCTTCCCCCGCCACAAGACGAAAGAAAAAAATAGTGTAATGGAAAGATACAATACTCAGCTTACCCTGAAGCCCTGTATAACATTCCTGTTGTGTTCAATGCAGAAACCAATTACCATATTAATGACACTTGGCTACAAAAATAGCACTTTATGGCTTTCAATGTTATACCCACGTCAATAACTCGTCGATACAACACCCTGTAGGTTCTGCTGCTGTTATGAAATATGTTGTATTTCAGAACAAGAATGATATTATAGCAGCCCCTACAGCATTTTCGCTTGCAAATCCTAAAGGCAAGTTAGTTTTCCCTTTCTCAAAACATTCTGGGCTGACACAACAGCGACTTGCCCAAGAAGGACAGAGCGCTGTAACAACAATAAAAGCAGCTTTTCTGGCTCCCTAGAAATCCCAGGATTTTATCAAGCTGCCAGTATACTTACTTGACTCACAAATTTTCCCACAAGAACCAGGAATTAGAATTGCACAGCATCCTACTTTATATAGTTCATCAGCTGCAGGTGTCTCAGATCACAGAAATTTCAAGTTTGGTGCTCACCACACGTGTGTTCCTTGACAGAACAGCAGCTGTGCTTGAAGCACTGGGGAGAATCCTGCACAGCCTGAGAATACAGGGATTGCTGACCCCCAAACAGCAGTGCAGCCACTCACTATGTGTCAGTGTCTCTGAAAGCCTGCATTAAAGGGTGATTTTGGACTCACAGTTTCACGGCTGCTGTGCTACAGGACAAGGAATGTACTGATACTAAGTGCCAGCCTCCGCCATGCCCTACATCAGCTTGTCCACATCTGTAGGAAGTGCTGCCAAGTGATGCTCTGCAAAGGATCTGTTCTATTTACTAATTATTTCTTTGAAGTTTTATGCATGTGCCATTGCAGCTCGGTTCAAAACCCTTGTTTACTGGCTCCCCACTGTCACACATTTGAGGAGGTGGATTTTGTTCCCCTTGATTTCAGTACCCATCCTGAAAGCTAATTACAAAAGATTGCTGACAACCTTGTCATTGTTCCTCCATTTTGATTTCTACAGCACACACTACAAGAGCGTCTTTGAATTCAATTCATTTTCTTTGTTAAAAAAAAAGGAAGCCCCAGAAAAAATGATGTAGTATGCAATTAAGATATTAATAAAAATCCTCTGCAGGCTTAAGTCTTCCACAAAAACTTTACCGGAGTTGCTTTGAAGTTGGAATCATAACTGCTGTTTCACAGAAAGCAAACAATTTACCTAGAACAGGTAATTATGTGACATCTGGCTGAACAGCAGGTCTATCCGGGTGAGACCTCAGATCCATGGGTGTCTTTGCTAATTATTTCATGAAGGGGAAAAACACATTACTGAGTAACAGTTACCCCAGAATTAGCCATGTTGGCTTTTCAGGTGCAGCCAATGGCTCTGAGAAGTATCAGTGACAGTCTTTCCTGCAAATGTCAGGGTCCACTGCAGAGATGAAAAGAACTCTTTCAGTGCTTAAGACAGCATTTGCCCCAGCCATGGTGGTGGTGCATGAAGAAGTAGAACACACTAACACAGCAGTTCAAGCCTCTGTTCTGTGTTTAAAGCATGCTGGTAGAAAAGCAGTTATCTGGAAAAGATGACTTGGCTGATCTGTAACACCATTTGGTGACAGTGACATTCCCTTCGTTTAGAGCAGGGGCTCACCGCACAGCATTACAGGCAGTGGGACTGCAAGACACAGCGCAGCACCAGGGCTGACTTGTGTAGCTACAAGCCATCAGCCTCACAATTGTCACTTAAATACCACTGTTATTAAAAGCTTCTGAACTGTTTCACAGAGCAACTGGAGATGGATCGTTAGGATGCCCAGGCCAGGCAGCCTCAAGGTCATTTGCAACGTGGGAAAGCAGCAGTTGCGCAGCTCCCCCTGCACTCCAGCCGCCAGCTGCAGCGGGAGTCGGATAGCGCAGTGCAGCCTGGGCAAGGGCCACTCACTCCTTCTGCCCTACCCAAGGCCAGCTGGCCACAGGCACTGCTCAGGCATCACTTTGAGCAGAGATTTCTACCTCTGTGAGGATAGGTCACACATCAGCAGCTACCAGACCCACCCTTCTCTTCACCTCCCATGCCAGTCGGTTGCAATTCCTATTAGTGAGTGCCACAGCATCTCTAGAGCATGGGATACTTTGGTGTTGGATAAAGCAATTCCATGAGCACTCTCAGAATTGGCACTGTCCCCTTGCTCCTTGTGCATGCCGCTTCCACTGACAGAGCCAACATTTTGCCTTTATCCCTTTACTTACCCACATGAACAGAGTGGTTCTGAAGAAAAAAAAACTGAACCCAGCTTCCTCATACAGCCTGTTCCCAAAAGTGAAGCCTTTTAGCTTCACCCAATCATTTCAGCTTAGGGGAAGGGAAAACCAAAGCAGGTTCAAGTTCCTCTCAGAGAGGAGACATTTTTCCTGTGTTGCAACCTTTAATTCTAGAGGATTTTCTTCAAGCCCCAGTACTGTTAACACAGAAGGCTAAGAACATACCCACCCCCTACAAATATGTGTTGCAGCAACAACACGCTTATTTCATCCTCCTTCTTGAGGTGAGTAACCAACCCCGCCTTCCCAGAACAGCTTGCACAAAGTCAAACACGGGCCTCCTATTTAGTTACCTGGAGGTGCCACTCGATCCTGGTATTTGGGCTCAAATTCGCTGACAGTGAGCAACATCACTTGGATGGTCCCGATGAATATACCTGCCAGGCAACCGTAGAAGATGACATAGAAGAGGAGGATCTTAACTGCAAGAGAAAACAAAGAAAGAGGAATCAAATCAAGCCCTCATGAAAGTCATGTTTCTGGACAGTACTTCCAACCTTTGCCACTTTCAAGGAGGTGCCCAGCACACAAAATTCAGATGTTGCAAAGACATCTATTTGACAGAGGGATTATGCCCTGATGCAGACAGGAAATATAAGGCACTCCAGTTGTTTGGTGGTGGGGAAACATGAGCCCCTGAAAACTTAGAAATCAGTGAATCAGGGTTTGGGCTTATAAAATACAAAGACTAAACCACATTCCCCCACACCTCAAGGATCCCTTGGCTGACCCAGCACCACCACAGGCCCTTGCACTTGACACGGTCAGTGATCCAAGTGCCCCACAGCAAGCACGGGTGTGCTTGAAGGATACTCATTCCACACAGATCTGGGGCTCAAAGCTATTTCCAGGAGCAGTACCAGTAAGTGTTTCATTCACGTTTACAAGCCATCGTGAAGCCTGATCTCTTCTAGTAATTCAGGCCATCACTTCCAAAAAAAAGACAAGGGTAAAGAGTTCAGGCCCAATTAACTTCAGTACTCCATCTCAAATGTAGGAAAGTACTCTCAAGGTGTCAAAATACCGCACATTTACCAGCCTTGTGTGCCTACAAAGACACTGGCACTGCTCATACCAATTAGAGAGTGAATTACATAACAATGAAAGACTGAATGTAGTTTCAGTCTAAAAGGAATGTCTAGAATCATCTTGAGGGGGGACTGGGAAGAACTGAGAAGAGTCTGGAGATGCAGCCCAGCTCTGGGTATCAGTTACCAGTTTACAAGTATTATCTGAACAGATTAACTGCAGGGTAACATGGTGTACTCTGAACCACCAGGCCATCCACAAGGGTAGGCCAGCCCATACCAAGCAACTGCATTGCTCATCAGGCTGCAAGGACAGACAGAGGCCAAAGACAACTTGAGAGCGAGCCTGCTTGATCTCAGACTGTCCTCACCTAATCACAAACAAAACAGTTGTAGTTTATTCGAAGGACTTGAAGTGATGAGCTACCACCAGAGAAAGGGAGTAAGTAGTGGGTAGAAATATTCCTCCTCACTCTCCAGCTCCATAAAAAAACCCAAAACCCTACATCGTTAGAGAAGTCTCACAATGAAAGCTGGGAGTTCTTGTTGTTCTGAGTCTATGAAAGACAGGCAAACAGGAGGGCCACCCAGAGAAGCAGAGGCTGAGGGACACTGTCAGAACGGCACTCCATCCTCTTGTCTTCCTCGCATGCACCAGAGGTAGCCAGGGCTGGAGGGCAGAGCTGGGTGCAGTAACGTGGTGCTCCAGGAGTTAAAGCACTCTTTGGTATCCAGGCAGCATAAAGCAAATGGCCATGACGTCAGGGACGTGTGGAAATTTTTTCCAGAGCACGGTCATAGGAGGTGCTGTTGTAACAAACCAAACACTAATGCTGTTGTCTGCAGCGTAATGCCTTTGAGTTTTGTAACATCAAAAGGCAAACGCTGGGAGGTAGCTTATTTAATCAGGTTGCCAGACAGGATGCTCTAAACGCCAAAGACACCTTAAAGGTCAAAACCACTCCAAGGTATCAGAAAATACGCAGTGGATCTAGAAATTGAGCATCACAGGGTTGAAGGAAAAAGCTTCTTGCAACAGGTAGGCTTATAACAGAAGAATCTGATCATCAGCCTGCAGATCGACTCAGCAAATGGAAATCAGTCCTAGGCAGATAGGTACGGACACTGGGAGAAGGACCTGGTTGAACCTCCACGTTTGAAGCACTGCGCAGTTGCCTGGTGCCTCAGGAGCAGAAAATACCTCTCCATGCGCACCCACAACCCCATTCTGCTCACGTAAAGATACGGCAGAAGCCTGCTCTAGTCCGCCTGCCAGAGGTGCCGGCTCTGGACGTGGCACCTCCGGGCCGATCCATTACAATAGGAGCTGAATTCAACATCGCAAGGGTGGCAACACCAGCTGTGGTTGGCAGCAACTGGAAGGCTGTTATTTGCGTAAAGAAATTAAAAACCTCTTTAAGCTAAATGCAACGAATACGGCACAAGCATTTATGAGGAATGCACATAGAGCCATTTCCTTCTTGCGGAGATATTAAGTCAATTGCTCTTTCTCAGTGAAGTAAAACTCGCTTAGTTTCATTTATCCAGAGAAAAAAAGAAAAAAAAAAAAAAAAAGCCTCTGTAAGGTCTATGGCAGATGAGAGCTGGGAGGTCAAGGTCCCCCGACGGCGATGCTCCCGGGCCGGGCCAGCCACCGGGAAAGGAAGGAGACCCAAGGACGAGGCGCCCTCGACAAGGTCGGCCCGACCCCGCCTCACCCCCGGACCCACCTGGAGCCGCACTCGGGGGGCACCGCTCGCCGGCCGCCGCGGGCCCCAGCGGACACCGAGGGGAGAGAACAGGGGGACCCCGTCCCTGCCCCCCTCGCCCCGCAGGGACGCCCTGTCGCCAGCCCCCCCCGCCCGCAGCCCCGCCGCAGCCGGCGGAGGCGGAGCGCCGGGGCCGTGCTGCAGAGCCCGCCGCATCGCCGCCCCCCGGCCCCGCACTCACACCAGCTGCCCCCGGTGCGGCCCAGCAGCTCCTTCTTCTCCGAGTTCCAGATGAATTTCTTCCAGTTGCCATCACCGTCCTTGGCCTTCCCGCGGGCCATGGCGAGCGGCGGGGTGGGCGAGCGGCGTGCAGAGATCTAAAGCCCTCAGCGGGCGGAGCGGGCCCGGAAGGTGCGGGTGGGTGCGCCCGCCCCGGCGGCGCCGGCCCGACGGGGCAAAGCGGGGGAGGCGACCGGGGTTGGGGGGGGGGAAACGCGGGAGCGGCGAGGGGAGCGGCGAGGGGAGCGCCACGGAGCGCACAGGGCACAGAGCAGCCGCGCTCCCCGCGCAGCGCCCCTTCATATACACCGCGGGCTCCGCCCTGCCCGCGCCGCCGCCAATGCGGATCGGCCGAGCGCTCCGCGGGCGGAGCCCGGGGCGGGAGGGGCGCAGTGGGGGCGCGCCGGCGGCGGGAGCGTCAAGGAGGGAGGGGGCGGGGGGCTGCGGCACCTACACCGGGGGGAAGGGTGGGCGCGGGCCGCCCGCCGCTCACCGGAGCTCCGACCCGCCGGGCCGGGCAGGTGCGCGTGTGCTACCGCGGGGGCGCGCGTCCCTTGCCCGGCCGTAGCTGCGGGCGCGTGTGCGCGCACCCGCACACCTGTGCGCGCGCTGGTCCGCACACGCGCCCGCCCGTTCCCGGTATTCCCGACCCGCCCGCGCCCTGCGGTCCCTGCTCCCCGCAGCAGAGCCAGTCGGCCGGGCGCTGCTGAGCACCGTCCGTGTTCCTCTCCTGCTCCTGGCGCGCCCGCCCGCCCCGCTCCGCCGGAGCGCCATACTACGGCGGGCTCACGTGTAACGCGGCTGCGGAATCAGGAGAGCCGACAGCGCTCCCGTCCCGGCCCCGAGCTCCGCCGCCCGCACCCTGGGAGCACCAGGCGGGAGGGGCGGGCAGGGGCTCGCCGGCGGCAGCAGGAATTGCCCGTCCCCTGTGGCGGGAGGGACACGACTCACACACGCGACAGCCGCCGCCCTTGCGGGGTGACCTTCAGGGCACTGCACAAACGCCACAGCCGCCTCGGGGTCGGGGAATACCCAGCCGTCGGCAGCACGCCCCGGGCCCGGCCGGGTGGGGTTGGGGGGGTTCTCTGCGGGGACACCTCTGTCATCACAGGTAACCAATGTGCCTTGGTCCCCTGGTACCATTACAGGACAGTTAAATTAAATCTGTGCATCCAAGCATACTTGAGTTTACTTCTGAACTTCCTGTCTGGTTGTAATATTGTATTCCACATATTATCTTGCCCCTAAGCTACTGATACATTCTCTGAACTTGGCATGAACTTTTGTAGTGCAATGATCTCTTGGTAATATTGGACTTGAACTTTTTTTTTTTTTTTTTTTCTTTGAGGTCTGGAGTTGCAATGAACGCACATAAGATAAGCCCTTCCATAATACTACCTAGCAGGTGCACATTCTGGCAGTTCCCTGCAAGAATGACCTAGCCTGGAATCAAGGATCACCCAAACTCAACATGCTCATCTCAGATCTCAAGAAGAAGTGGTCTGGCCACCATCATCACATACCCTTCCTAAGCTATTAAAGGGAACAAGCGATAATGAGGCACCCTTCTCCACGGCTACAACCCTGAACCAACCCCTGAAGCAGCTGAGGGACCTGCTTTTTTAGGCCTTCAGCCTTACTTTGCTGGGGCCACTCTAGTTCTAGGTCCAGACAGGCCAGATACCCTCAGGGTTACAACTACACTCATGGCAGTGACTGAGGATGGCTTTCTTAGCTTTAGACATGCAACCAGACTTCTCAAAGCCATGAAGGGTTATGGGTTAGGGATGCATGGAGGTTGTGTGCCTAGAAGGCTGCATGTGTTTAATTGGGAGTGTCTGGTCTGATACATTATACATGATATATGATACATTATACATGATCAAAGGGAGCCAGGTGTGCCACACAGATTTTCATCCTGGGTTAGGAGAATCAGCTCTCAGTGGCGTTTATGTGATGGGAAAAAGCTGGAAAGCTATGGGAAAGAGGGTAATTGACATCTCTCTTTTCTCCTTGGTGTCTGGTCAGAGCCGGTCTTTTAAAGAGTCGTGGTGATGGTGGTTGATAACAAAAGCAAACACCGACAGCAGTACCTGATACCCAAGCGAACATCATCTACGCTACAGGGAGAGCAGTATCAGTTACAACTTAAGGCAGCTGTGATTACAATCAAGCCAATAACTACACAAGCACTGCTGAAGGAAAAAACACCCATTCTTGACTCCCCAGACCACAGTGCAGTTGCTGCTCTTGCCAGCTAGTCTGTTCCTCTCAGCTGCTGGGCTGAGAGCTTGCAGCTGCGAGTCTGCAGTGGCAACTGAAGACCTGAACCAACTATCCTTCTAACACCCTGGGTGCAATTTTATAGCTCAGGTGTGTTACCCTACAAAGGACAGCAGTTAGGGAATTATGTATGGGTGCATGGTGGTGTCACCCAGGCATGATATCTGCTCACCAGACAGCCTGCCCTGCAATGTTATGTCTTGTGTTTTCTATGGAACAGGACCCAGTTCATCTGCCCTGTGGAAGAAACAGCACGTGAGTTAGCTCAGGGCACATGCAACAGCCGCAGTCTGTGCAGCCCTCTCCTTCCTGCCTTCTGCTTGAGCAATTGGGTCATCCAAAATAAAACAGGCATGGGACATTCAGGGGGGTTCAGGGTGATACTGAAACCAGGGAAGATTTTAATGGGGATACATTCTACCACAGCATTATTTCCTATGACCACAGAAAGTGAGTTTGAAGAAAGCAACTAGAGAAGATCTAAAGAACTGTATCGCAATTACATAGTAAATGGCCACCCAGAAACACGATCTTCCTCAGAGCACGGCACAATATCACTACGAGCTCCAGTGCTGCAGGTGGAAGCCAAGCTGCAGGAGCTTCTGGCTTCATCAGTGTTTGTTCAAGGATCACTGGGAAACTCTCTCGTCTTCCTGCAAGCATTTGTATTTCTGTATAAATACACAGACAAGTCCTGTTGGGTTGGTGGTGGCCAGAAGTATCAAATCCCTGTGACTGCACAGGCTGGGGCATGCAGGATGTGGAATGGGCAGAATGCCCTTTGTGACGGTCTCAAGCCATTCCTGCCAACCTTTTACAAAACTGAAGGCTCTGTCCTCTGCATGCTCAGGACATGCACTTTGCCTTGAAGTCTGTGAATTATCCTCTCGGAATCAGCAGAACTAATAGGCAATGAGGTGCCAAATTTTATTCAAATTTACTGTTTGTTTGGCTGTTCAGATATCAATCAGGCAGTCTCTAAGGCCACAACTGTATGATCTGATTTTTTAAGGTGATAAGGGCCTGAGGCAATGTTGGAAACTGCCAAGAACAAAATGTGCAAAGTAATGCATGTCCAGGAGATTAGTTGCAGGACGAAGGATGGGGTTAGGGAAAGCTGTGCACTGACACCTAGGAAGGAACAACTTACAGGATGGAAGTTGCTAAACGTTTATCTCACTGCCTCAAGCATAGCCATCAAAGAGATTTCCTGCTTCCTTTCCATCTCCTGCTTTGTGGGACTGGAAGAAAGCACCTACAGCAAGGAAAGGTGCTCACTATGGGGCAGGAGGGTGGACAACTATTTCTAATGTAGCAGCGAAAGAGAAATGGCCAGTGCAGAGCAAGGCAAAGTAAGGATTTGTCTGGCTTGATTCTGCCCCTTAGTGCTATTTTTGTGGGGGAAAGGAGACTGTGCTGCTGATGGTCACACACAGAAACTTTGGGCAATGTGTGATCTAGAAACACCTCTGAAGATGGCTGTGGGTGATGCTGTGATGAGCAGCAGCAAAGAGGCATGCCAGGGCAGGGAGCAACTCAGGCTGTGGGACCCAAGTGCAAGTTATAAGGTGACAGAAGTGTGCAAAATGGCCTCAAGTCGGTACTATTCCATGGGCTGTCACTGCAAACAAATGGGAATGGGCATGCCCAGGAGCTGGAAAAGGGCTCAACTGCTTGGCACCAAGCCTGTATCACACACAACAGGTGAGAGAGGACAAGGAACTGAATGGCAGCCCTCAGACTGCTATCAAGATGCCAGGTGGCAAACAGCCATTTTATACTTGTCTGGTGGCCTTGAGCGGGAGAGTAGTGACCCTCAAGAACTGCCCTCAGGGTCCCAGCAAAGTACCTGCCAGTGTTTGGTCCCCATGACAGCTTCTTGGTCCTGCAGGACACTGCCTTGGGATTGTCCTCCAATTTTCTGCCTGGGATGTTCAGGAGAAAAAATACCCATTCAGGGGCTGCTACACATAACAATGGCTCAAGCAGGGTATGTTGTCTCCCAGGACAAAACTGTCTTTCAAGTCTTCCTCCTTCCACTCCTTGTTCCTCTTACAGGTGTGGGGTCACTAGCAATTAGATTTACAGGCATATGCAGTTGGTTCTCTGAGCACAATGACTGCACAATTTAAACAGATTAACTGCACATAGTTGTGGAAGGTGAGGTAACTAAGGTCAAGGATTCATGAACTGGTAGGCCCTGAGAAAGTAAATATGTGTAGAAATAAACTCCCCCCTAATTCAGAAATGGGGACACTATTCTTTTCCTTAATGTCAGTTTCAGTTATGGTGGAGTGCCTCCACAGCTCACCCTTGGCAAAATGAGGTGTAAGACAACAGCCGATAAAACAGGTAAGTGACACTAAGGAGCATGTATGGATGGAAAACCCAAAAGTGTCTGAGGCATTTGCCTCAAACTTGTTTTGCTGAAGAAGAAAACAAATAGCAGGCATCAGCTGATCATGCTAAAGAGGATGGCATCTGTCAGCTGGATTAAATGGTAACCAGGGAATGACAAAGACAATTTGGAGACAAAGAATGAGTTGATTGGAAAGACTGTATAAAAGACAAATAAAAACCAGTAACAGAGCAGGGAGAGGCCTCAGACTGTCAGAATCTAGTTTGGCACATCACAGCCTCTGTGGAGGTCAGATGCATCCATGTGACACCATCAGCAGCAGGCACCTAGTGCATGGCCTGATCCCATGGGGTGCAGCAGGTGGGACACACTGGGTGGGGGGTGAGACCTGCTGGTGTCCCTTCCTGCCAGCAGATGCATTAGCTGATTGTTGGGAATGGTGTGGGCACCCCCAGAGCTGGAGTGGCCACAACTCCAGTGAGAGAAGGACATAAATGGGGAGAGCTGTGCTCCCAAAAGTGACTCCCATGCCAGTAAGAGACGGGTTGGTGCCCACGTGTCTGGGGATTAGCTACAAAGGTGTGTTTAGGAACCAGCAGGAATTTATAAGTGTTTTCTAAATGTCTAACC